CAAAAAAATTAAAGGAACACATTTTAATCAGAGCATCAAGTCAATTTAAACTCCTGGGATATTGATCTGGTCAGTTAAGTAGCAGAGGGGGTTGTTAATCAGTTTCAGCTGCTTTGGTGTTAATGAAATGAACAACAGGTGTAACTAGATGGGCAACAATGAGATGACCCCCAAACCAGGAATGGTTTTAAAGGTGGAGGCCACTGACATTTTTTCCCCTACTCATCTTTTCTGTTTTTCGCTAGTTTTGCATTTGGCTAGGGTCAGTGTCACTACTGGTAGCATAAGGCGATACATGAACCCTACAGAGGTTGCACAGGCAGTCCAACTCCTCCAGGATGGCATATCAATACGTGCCATTGCCAGAAAGTTTGCTGTGCCTCATAGCACAGTCTCAAGAGCATGGAGGAAATTCCAGGAGACAGGCAGATACTCTAGGAGAGCAGGACAGGGCTGTAGAAGGTCTTTAACCCATCAGCAGGACTGGTATCTGCTTCTTTGTGCAAGGAGGAATAGGATGATCACTGCCAGAGCCTTACAAAAGGACCTCCAGCAGGCCATTGATGTGAATGTCTCTGGTCAATCAGAAACAGATTTCATGAGGATGGCCTGATGGCCCGACATCCTCTAATGGGCCCTGTGCTCACTGCCCAGCACCATAGAGCTCGATTGGCATTTGCCATTGAATACCAGAATTGGCAGGTCCACCACTGGCGCCCTGTGCTTTTCACAGATGAGAGCAGGTTCACCCTGAGCACGTGTCAGATGTGAAAAGGTCTGGAGAAGCTATGGAGAACATTATGCTGCCTGTAACATCTTTCAGTATGACCATTTTGGTGGTGGGTCAGTGATGGCCTGGGGAGGCATAACCATGGAGGGATGCACAGACCTCTACAGGCTAGACAGTGGCACCCTGACTGCCATTAGGTTATGGGATGAAATCCATAGACCCATTGTCAGGCCCTAGGCTGGTACAGTGGGTCTTAGGATCCTCCTGGTGCACAACAATGCCCAGTCTCATGTGGCAAGAGTATGCAGGCAGTTCCTGGAGGATGAAGGAATTGATACCCCCACACTCACCTAACCTAAATCCAACAGAACACCTCTGGGATATCATGTTTTGATCCATCAGATGCCGCCAGGTTGCACCTCAGACTGTCCATGAACTCAGTGATGCCCTATTCCAGATCTGGGAAGAAATACCCCAGGACACCATCTGCCATGTCATTAGGAGCATGCCCCGACATTGTCAGGCATGCATACAAGCACATGGGGGCCATACAAACTACTAAGTACCATTTTGAGTTGCAATGAAATTTCAGCAAAATGGACTAGCCTGCTGCATCATTTTTTCACTTTGATTCTAGGAGTGTCTTTGAATTCAGTCCTCTGTAGGTTGATGATTTTCATTTCCATGGGGAATCTTTACATTCCTATAACATTACCCAGTCCATATCATTATAGATATCCAGCATGATATTTCTCCCCATTGAGATCTGATGTGTTTTCAAAGTGTTCCTTAAATTTTTTTGACCAGTGTGTATGTATATATATAACAGTCATGGCCGAAATTGTTGGCACCCTTGATATTTTTCCTGAAAATCAAGTATTTCACACAAAAAAGGTATTGCATTAACACATGTTTTGCTATTACACATGTTTATTCCCTTTGTATGTATTGGAACAAATATAAAACAGAGGCAGAAAAGCAAATATGACATAATGTCACACAAAACCCAAAAATGGGCTGGACAAAAGTATTGGCACCCTTAACTTAATATTTGGTTGCACACCCTTTGGAAAACATAACTGAAATCAGTCGCTTCCTATAACCATCAATAAGCTTCTGACAAGACCTCTCACCCGGAATTTTGGACCACTCTTCCTTTGCAAACAGCTCCAGGTCTCTCTTATTGGAAGGACACCTTTTCCCAACAGCAATTTTAAGATCTCTCCACAGTTGTGTTCAATGGGATTTAGATCTGGGCTCATTGCTGGCCACTTCAGAACTCTCCAGCGCTTCTTTGCCATCCATTTCTGAGTGCTTTTTGACGTATGTTTGGGGTCATTGTCCTGCTGGAAGACCCAGGATCTTGGACGCAAACCCAGCTTTCTGACACTGGGCCCTACAGTGCGACCCAAAATCCTTTGGTAATCCTCAGATTTCATGATGCCTTGAATCACACAGTCAAGGCACCCAGTGCCAGAGGCAGCAAAACAACCCCCAAAACATCATTGAACCTCCACCATATTTTACCGTAGGTACTGTGTTTTGTTCTTTGTAGGCCTCATTCCGTTTTTCGGTAAACAGTAGAATGATGTGCTTTACCGTAAAAAGCTCTATCTTGGTCTCATCTGTCCACAAGACCCCCAGAAGGCTTTTGGCTTACTCAAGTACATTTTTGGCAAACTGTAGTCTTGCTTTTTTTATGTCTCTGTGTCAGCAGTGGGGTCCTCCTGGGTCTCCTGCCATAGCGTTTCATTTCATTTAAATGTCGACGGATAGTTCGCGCTGACACTGATGCTCCCTGAGCCTGCAGGACAGCTTGAATGTCTTTGGAACATGTTTGGGGCTGCTTATCCACCATCCCGGACTATTCTGCGTTGCAATCTTCATCATCAATTTTCCTCATCCGTCCACGACCAGGGAGATTAGCTACAGTGCCATGGGTTTGCAAACTTCTTGATAATGTTGCGCACTGTGGACAAAGGCAAATCTAGTTCTCTGGAGATGGACTTGTAACCTTGAGATTGTTGATATTTTGCCACAATTTTGGTTCTCAGGTCCTCAGACAGTTCTCGTCTCCTCTTTCTGTTGTCCATGCTTAGTGTGGCACAGACAGACACACATGCAAAGGTTAAGTGAACGTCTCTCCTTTTTATCTGCTTTCAGGTGTGATTTCTATTTGCCCACACCTGTTACTTGCCCCAGGTGAGTTTACAGGAGCATCACATGCTTGTAACATTCTTATTTATCCGCAGTTGTGAAAGGGTGCCAATACTTTTGTCCAGCCCATTTTTGGAGGTTTGTGTGACATTATGTCGAATTTGCTTTCTTTCCTCCCTTTTTTGTTTTGTCCCAATACACACAAAGGGAATAAAACATGTGTATAGCAAAACATGTGTTAATGCAATACGTTTCGTGAGAAATACATGATTTCCTGGAGAAATATCAAGGGTGCCAACAATTTCGGCCATGACTGTATATATATATATATATATATATATATATATGTTATATATATATATATATATATACCATACAATACACACACATACACACACATCCCACATACATACACACACACACACACACACAGCTGCAGGGGACTCAAGGTGTAAGTACTGTATACATGTCTTATCACTATAATGGGGTACAGGGGAGCTGGGATATACATTACTCAGTATGTACGCCTGTTGTTGAGGGTTAGGGGACTGATGTGATGTTAATATATATGTATTATATATAATCCTGTCACGGAAGTGTTCTTAAAAGAAAAGCTAAAATTCATCTTTATAAATTGACTTTTCAAGAGTCTCTCCTATGACTTATTAAAGTTATTTGATTTAAAATACTTTGGTTTTCCAAAGACAGAGTTAAATTCCAAAAATTGTTGGAAATAACTTTCTCAACCTGTTGGATTGTTTTAGTCTTAGTCCAAACGTTCCAGTTAGACTCCCTATGAGTAAAAAGGGTCAAACAATCTGTCGTTTAAATAAAGGTTTAAAACATCATGTAAAATATTGTGTCAAATCAAAGGTAGGGAAATTTTGGGAGTAACAGCATCTACAATTTTTGAGTATGTACTCTTAGAGGCACTTGGAATCACAAAGAAGTTGACATTGGTCAGATATTAAAACAACTCTCTCGGAAACAGTAATGGGTCAAAAATATTCTTCCAACAACTCTGGTTTAGTCTTTTCTTTTTAATTATATGTTTACTAAATTTATGCTACAAATCCAACATTATTGCAAGTAATACAAACAAACATTTCCCATCCCCCATAGCCCCCCCCAGTTTCCTTTCTTTTCTCTTATTATTCTCTTGTCTTCTTTCTCCTCGTGTCTGATTATCTATCTTCACCTCTCCCCTCGCCTACTTAATTCTTTCTCTCCTGCACAAGCCATCATTCCTCTCATTATTCCCTTCTTTCTTTTACAGTCCTACATATGTTTTTGATGTTTTAAATCCCCCCCGTCTTTCCCATTTTTAAAAAAAAAATATTTCAGTTTTATCCCCTCCAATATGGTAATAGTTCTTCCATTCTATATATATATATATATATATATATATACTCCACTCCATTTATCCTGTCTTTTATTTTTGGGGTTTCCTGTGCCTGCAAGAATCTGGGGATCAGCCCTTTGGCAGCATTTAATAAATGAAATATCATCATATTCTTATAGTGTTTCACTGTAAACACAGATTTATGAAATAAACAGACACTCTGGTTTAGTCTATTTCAAGTAACGAAGGTTTTTCTAGCTATTTATGTTTGTTTTTCTTTTTATTATTGACCTGATTGTTTAACCACCTCCCGCCCGCCATATAGTCCAATGATGGACACAAGGTGGTTCTCTCGTTCTGGGAGGACGTCAGGGAGCGCGCGCAGCACGGCAATCGGCAGTGCGCTGTGTCCCTTGGGCACAGTGGATCACCGATCCACGGAAAAAAACGAAGATGTCGGCTCGGTCATGTGATCAGCTGTGTCCAATCACAGCTTATCACATGTAAACAGGAAAATGCCAATTATCGGCATTTCTCTCCTCACCAGCTGTCACGTTGGCAGCTCGAGAGGAGAGGAAAGCCGGTAAATCGGCATTCCGCAGAGGGGACATGTACACTGACCATCAGGGTACTGATGATCAGTGTGGCCACAGAAGTGCCTCCTGTCAGTGTCCATCAGTGCCGCATGTCAGTGCTAAACAGTGCCTACCAGTGCACATCAATACCACAAATCAGTGCCCATCTGAGCTGCCTTTCAGTGTTACCCATCAGTGCCAGTCAGTGCCGCCTGTCAGTGCCGCCAAACAGTGCCACATATCTGTGCCAGTCAGTGCCGCCTATCAGTGTGCGTCAGTGCCGCCTATCAGTGCCAGTCAGTGCCACCTAAAAGTGCCAGTCAGTGCCACCTAAAAGTGCCAGTCAGTGCCACCTAAAAGTGCCAGTCAGTGCCACCTAACAGTGCCAGTCAGTGCCTCCTAACAGTGCAGCCTTTCAGCGCCCATCAGTGATGCCTGTCAATGCTCATCAATGCCTCCTCATCAAAGTCCATCAGTGTCACCTATCAGTGCCCATCACTGCAGCCTCATTAGCGCACATCAGTGAAGGAGAAAAAAAACTTATTTACAAAATTTTATAACAAAAACTAAGAAAAAACTTTTTTTTTCAACATTTTCAGTGGTTTTTGGTTTAAGAAAAAATAAAATAACCCAGAGGTGATTAACCATTTGCCGCCCACCCTATGGCCGAATGGCGGCCGGCAAATGTCATCAGCGTTCCAGGTGGATGCCATATGGCGTCCTCCCGCACATGCGCAGATTGCGCTCCTGCAGAGCCACGCAGCGGCGTGATCTGTCACCAGATCCGTGTACCTCAGACACGGCCGATGACAGATCTGAGTATCGGCCCCCGTCACCCGTACCATGTGACCTGCTGTGACCAATCACAGCAGGTCACATGACAGTTGTATACAATGGATGGCTTCATTCATGCCATCCATTGTATACTAGTGTCTTGCTGTGAATGGTCACAGCTAATCACATGCACATGTCATGTGATTAGCTGTGGTCAAATCACAGCTGAGCACAAAAAAAAAAACCCTGAATGAATCGATGTCATTAAGGTAAATGCTTGCTTATAGCACAGTAATTCTTTGCTATAAGCAAATTGTGTAAAAAAAAAAAAAAAAAATACCGATCACTTCCCCAAAGTAGTACAATGTTACTATGGTAACATTGTACTACTTTGGTCATAGTGAAATATGAAAAAAAAATCTTTAAAAAAAAGAAAAACAACATTTAATAAAAAATAATAAAATAATATATATATATATATATATATATATATATATATATATATATATATATATATCTTTTTTTTTTTTTTTCCATACTGTCACATCAGTGTCCCTGATCACTGCCATGCCAGTTATGATGACACTGTACTGCACTGGTGACAATATGTAAAAAAAAAAATAGTGAAACTAATTTTTTTAATTTATTATTTTCCGAAAAATTACAAAAAAAATACAACTTCAAAAAACTCGCCATGCCTCTTATGAAGTACGTCGGACTGTCTGCTTTGCAATAAGGGGTCATTTGGGGATATCTGTACTGTTCTGACATTCTTGGACCTCAAGAAATTAGATTGGCTGTCAGTACTTCAGGATTGATCAATATTCAGATCTATACCATAGTTTGTGAACTCTATAACTTTCCTACAAACTAAATAATACATCCTAATTTGGGTTATTTTCACCAAAGACATGTAGCAGAATACATCTTGGCCTAAATTTATGAAGAACAATTATTTATTTGCAAACTTTTATAAGAGTAACAAAGAAAAACGTGTTTTTTTCAAAATTGTTGGTCTTTTTTTGTTAATTTAGACAAAAAAATAAAAACCCCAGCGGTGATTAAATACCACCAAAAGAAAGCTCTAGTTGTGTTAAGAAAATGATAAAATTTTAGTTTGGGTACAATGTTGTATGACTGTGCAATTGTCATTCAAAGTGTGAGAGCGCTGAAACCTGAAAACTGGCCAGGGCAGGAAGGTGTAAAATTGCCCAGTATTGAAATGGTTAAACACCACCAAAATAAAGCTCTGTCACAAAAAAATGATAAAAATTTCATATGGGTACAGTGTTGCATGACCGCGCAATTGTCATTCAAAGTGTGACAGCACTGAGAGCTGGAAATTGGCCTGGGCAGGAAGGGGTATAAGTGCCCTGTAGTCTAGCGGTTAAAGCACTTGTTCAGTGAATATGTGACAAAAACAGTCCTTCAGTGAATATATGATAATGTATAATATGTCTTGTTATTTATTGTTTTGACTGAATCAAATCACATTTTATCAGCCATTCTAGTAGGAACAGAAATTCCCCAAAGGTTGATAGGCTTTTCAAATAGTAGCATACTTAAAAGAAACAATATATTTATTAACCACTTGCCTTTCAGAGGATTTACCCCCCTTCCTGACCAGGCCATTTTTGCGTTACGGCGCAGCATTACTTTACCTGACAAAAGTGCGGTCATGCAATACTGCACCCAAATGAAATTTACGTCCTTTTTTCCCATGAATTGAGCTTGCTTTTGGTGGTATTTGATCGCCTGTGCATTTTTATTTTTTGCCCTATATAATAATTTAAAAAAAGGCCAACAATTTTGAGGAAAAAAAAAAGTATTTTTGACTTTTTGCTATTATACATATTCAGTAAAAAAATTAAAACATCAAATTTAGGCCAAAATGTATTCTGCTACATGTCTTTGCTAAAAAAAAATCCCAATACGTGTAAATGAATTGGTTTACATGAAAGTTATAGCGTTTACAAATGGCAATATAGATACTGGAATTTTTTTTAAAGATTTTTTTACTAGTAATGGCGGTGATCAGCGACTTATAGCGGGACTGCGGCGGGCATTCTGACACTGGGGGGGAACGGACTTGGTGTCACTGACATTCCCAGTGACACCAATACAGTGATCAGTGCTAAAAAACCACTGACAGTGTACTAATGGCACTGGGCAGGAGGGGGTTAACATGAAGAGCGATCAAAGGGTTAACTGTGTGCTGGGGGTGTGTTTTACTTTGGGGTCGTGTGTTGTGTGCTTTACTGTAATAATACTGTATGCATGGATGTGCTGTGCACAGCCATCCAAAGCAGTGTGCACGAGCTGACAGGGAGAACTGTTTTGTTTACAAACAGTTCTCCTCTCCATCGGAGATGCTCGGCAAAAAAACGGTCGGGACCCGGTGATTGACAGTCATGGCTGCGAATGGAGGCGTGGGTAGGGCGCGCGAGTCCCCTACCCGGAAATGCAAAATCACGTATACATACACGTGATTTTGCGCACCCGTGCCACCTTGTAGCAGTATATCTGGGCAGCACAGTGGCTAAATGGTTAGCACTTCCGCCTGGCAGCACTAGAGTCGTTGGTTTGAATCCCAGCCAGGGCACCACCTGCCTGGAGTTTGCATGTTCTCCCTGTGCCTGCGTGGGTTTCCTCCGGGTACTCCGGTTTCCTCCCACACTCCAAAGACATGCTGGTAGGCTAATTGGATCCTATCTAAATTGTCCCCTAGTATGTATGAATGTGAGTTAGGGACCTTAGATTGTACACTCCTTGAGGGTTAGGGACTGATGTGAGTGTACAATATATATATGTGCAAAGCGCTGCGTAAATTGACAGCGCTCTATAAGTACCTGAAATAAATAAATATAGGGCGATCAGGAAGCGGTTAATATTCTCTGTGTTCCTAAATATTAGCAATTCCTGTACTCTTTACTTACACATGGTTGTTGATTCCCCATGTGACAGCACCAGTTCTCCATGTCAAATGTCTGCATATAGCCAAGTCACAAGCTGCTCCATACGCAGAAGTACCGGGTATTTTCTTCAGCTTCCAATAATAATTAGAATGGAGAAGATTGAATGAAAGGTAAGCATTGAGGCCAGTTTAAACAAAAAAGTGGGGCCCATATGGAAAAATTCTGCAATGTACGAGGAGGCTGTCTCATCAAAACCATGGGCCAACAATCAAATAAAAAAGTGAGGTCTATAGTACAACTGGTCAATCCAAAAAGGTAAACTATAGGTGTGTTTTAAGAGGTCCACTTAATAGTGCTAAACCCTTCGATCTCTACATGATAAAGCCATAACAATACTCCCTGAAATATAAGTATGGCACCTATTGAAAACAGCAGCATAATGCAGATATATTGACTAGAGGCAATATTCTGTTGACTAAAAAGGAAGCTGGATGCTGGATCTCCTCAACATTGCTTAAGGCTAGCCAAGGATGGGGAACATACATAGAGATAAACCTGGGGGCATGCTTGACACACAAATGTCAGGCATAATTGAAGAGTAATGGGATGTAAAAATGGCAAAGAAGACTGCAACGGATACAGTGGGGCTGACCTATATGAGGCCATCCCAGCCGACTCAAGGGACAAGGAAGAAAGGGAAGGAGAGGAAAAGGATTACAAAAGGAAATTAAAAAAAAATAGAAAAAGGTAGAAGCCCACAATCAGGCTTGAGTATCTGAAAAATCAACAGGCACAGCATATCCAAAATCCTCTGCTTGGTCAACAGGGAGGTCACAGTGACTTATTCACAATCCTTGAACAAGGACAATGTCACACTCAATTAGCTATGCACAAAGCAGTAATAAGGGTGTCATAAAATGGAGAAAAGGATTGAAAAAACAAGACCACTGTAGTGCAAGTGGAAAATCCCATCAGGGATGGCCTAAAAACAATGCGTACCAAACAAGAGGACAAAAAACTCCACAAAGCACCTGCACCACCACAATTTGGGCTGTGGTCCATTCCAAAGGGAACACCTAGTGATGGATGCCCATCCCAGAAACTGGGGGGGCATAAATTGTCTAAGTACAGCGGAACACCTGAAAGTAAGAATACGAGGATGTCAGTGAGAAGTGGATGGTAGGGTAGGGTAGGGAAGAAGTAGGGTAAATTCATATACATATGTATGTAACAACAATATCCACAACATAAGTAAAACTAGAGAAACATCAATCTCTGGAGAATGTGCACCATCTTGGTCTAGGGCTGCAGTTAGTTTCAAAGAGAGCTTCGAGGGTAAAGCACACCCCCAAAGAAACTGGCAACAAAAGACCAGCAATCTCAGAGACTGAGCTACAAAAGGGAATTTAGAAAAGGAGCCTCAAAACACTGTCAATGCAGATGCCCCAGCATTATGACATGATGCATGAGCAACCCAACATAGCAACCATGAAAATATCAAAACTAGAGCAATAGTCTAACACCTCATGGCAAGGAAACTGCACAAGCACCATCTAAGGCTAGGTACACACCTATGCAGTTTGCATTTGATCTGTTTCTGCATTGCATCGTGTTTTGCACCTGCGTTTTTGATGTGTTTTGAATTTTTTTAATTTGTTTTATTTTTCCTGTTGCTAGGCAGATTTAAAACGTAAAACACATCAAAAAGACAATACATGCTTTTCTGCAGCATTTCCATTGAAGTCTATAGAACCAAAAATGCAACTTTTTGTTTTCAAAAAAGTCAATGACCTTTTCCAAAAAATGCACCGAGTGAAAACGCGGAGGTGTGAACGTGTCCCATTGGAAATCATGTTAAATGGCCTGTACTGCATTTCTGCAAAACGCTGCGAAAACCTAGGGTAAGGCTGGAAGAAGCAAGAGCATAAACTCAAAAGCAGCATCCAGTCCTAA